TCTGAGGTGATATGATATGTGATTGTTGATTATTCCAGGCTCGCACCAACGAAATTCCTGTGTAGCGTTGGGGTGGGTCTGAGGTGATGTGATATTGTGATTGTTGATTATTTCCAGGCTCGCACCAGTGAAATTCCTGTGTAGCACTGGGGTGGGTCTGAGGGGGCAGTGAACCGTTACATGTGGATGATTTGTGAACAACCGGTTATTCATGAATATGAGTTTTGACTATATGTGAGAGGTAGACCAGTGACCAGTATAGGATGGCTAGTTGTGTTATTTTCATACATAGATCGGGATTAATATTTAATTATTTACAATTTGAGACATATGGTATATACATGAGGGTTTCCTTGTTTGGATTATTTCGCTCGACGTACTACGTCTCTTGTTGTAGATTTTTAAATATTAATTCTATCTATTGTATGATCTTGTTGCTTGGATGGTTTCTGATCGCTACCTGCATGATCTTGTTACTTGGTTGATTTTTGGATTCGTATGATTATTAGTATTCCAGTTGCACGCCTCTATTGTTATTACTATCATCACATGTTCTATTTTTATTTCTGTTATCGTATCGTTTCCGTTTTGGTTTTCGTTGTTCTATTTTCCTTGTGGGGTCGAGTCTTGCCGTGCGCCATGCACCTGACGTACACCTGTTTTCTCTGGTGTACGTCAGACTTAGGAGAAGAACAGGTTCAACAGGAGCTAGAGGATTCTCAGCAGGGAGTGCCTTGTAGATGGAGCAGAAGAAGGAGTCGAAGCCTATTCTTTGATGGTTCTAGTTTACCTTTATAGTTCTTTCTTTTTCTATTTTCGCCTGAACGATGTATTTTGTATCTCTCCAGTATTCTCTTGTTCAGATTTGTATAAGGGCATGTTTGACCCATATTTTTATGTCTGGGATGATTTACCATTGATGATATGTCTATTTTATTCTGGGTTGTCTTTATATTCTTGTTATGTGTGATCGGGGACCTGTGACTTCGTATTATATTTATTTCCAGACGCTTAGCGTATTAGATTGAGAAGAAGAGGTCTAGCACTTATCTCTCCTCAGTCTAATACGTCGCGGGCTTGCTCGCGTCCCGATTCCCTGGTATTTTGGGAAGCGGGGCGTGACAGGTGGAGTGATTCGGGAGTTGGTTGTTGAAGAAGAACATCATTTTACTTGGAGTTTTGGTAGGAACAGGCTATAGAGTAACCTTAGTCGATTCACGTTTGAAGGTCACATTAGGATCCATGATTGTGATAAAGGACGTCAGGAGAAAAAATTTGTATTATTTGATTGGGAGCACGGTGTTTGATAGAGCGCTGACGACTTCTTTGAATTTGGCTAGACTGTGACATTTGTTGAGGCTGAGTTATTTGATTGGTTATGCCATGTATGGTTTGTTGAGGAGTGCTTTGACCTACATATTGAAGCCCTTTGAGCACATTGGTATGAGCAAGAAGACCGATGTGGAGTTTGGCATTTCTATCCATCGATCGAGGGGTCTTTTAGGTGGTGTTCAGTCAGACATTTGGGGGCCTTCCAAGGAGACATCATTAGGAGGTAATCGGTATTTGATTTTCAGAGTTGGAGATTGTTCTAGACATTGGTGGGTTGCAACCAGGTCCCGTTGGTGTGAAGTCCTAGAAGTCAATAATAATTGGAAAAACTGTATTGACAGAAAGGTAATCCATCGTTCTAGCTTTGGTAGGGGTTCTTTTTTGCATTTGTGCCGAGCTCATGGCAGTTTGAGACACTTTATTGATGTGGAGATATTAGGACGACGAGATGAGATGACAATTTTGATGGGTCGTTCCTTACTGGAGGTGGATCGGTGTTGGTTGTCGAGCATTGGTTTTGATTTTGGAACTTCGATATATTTGGGTCATCTTGGTCATAGGTTGCCGACTGTTGCATGTGAAGATTTTGGATCTGGTGGAGTTGCTTTAGATTTTGGGTTGCGTCGAATATTTAGTTGCCTAGCATTTGGTCACATCTAGGATGTGAGATTTGATCCGATTGCACGTTTGGGATTCAGAGGTTCGTTTGATTATCAGTTTGTAGCTTCTGATTTTATTCTGAGTAGGTATGTCACATTTGATTCTCGATAGGTAGAGAGTGTTAATCAGATCATTGGAATATCACAGCGGGTGGAGGGTGATGCTACTTCACATTGGGTGAAGATTACTCCACATACTCCAGATCATACTGCATCGTTTGGGATTCTAGCTGAGGTGACACAGTTGGAGATCATTTAGATTTGGATGCAGATGATGAGTTGGTTTTGGATTCGAATGCAGCTGGTAGACATGTTTTGGATACAGACACTGGTTCACCTCAGGTGAAGGTGTTTGATTTGTTTCAGTTTGGGGTCATTGGGAGCGCTATCAGTTGCAAATTCGTTGGTGATATTGTTGAAGTGTTGCAAACTTTTCTATTTGATTGAGGGCCTTTGGAGGCTGTTTGGGTGAACTACGTGAATGCTTGATTCCTTGGGCAAGAGGATACGTAGGCAGTCATTTGTGATGCAACCAATTTGGTGAGTAGATAGCGATGTTTGGAAAGTGGCCACATTCTCGTTTGGGTGTCTCGACTTGTTGTGGATTGAGTCTGTTATTGTGATTTTGTTTCACTTTGTACTGGACGCAACAAGTGAGACATTTGTTTGGTGTTGGTGTCGGTTCAGTTTTGGAAAAACTTTGCCGATGTGGAGAATTGTTGGACTTTGAATATTTTAGAAACGGTTCACTAATTTTGTTGTTGCTTCAAGTGATTAGGTTACATGCTAACCCACTTACTATAGTAAAAACAAGATTACAAATCACATAAGAGTACGATGTTATAGATGAGTTCATAGAGCGAACCGATCTGCAGAAAGCCCAAATAATGATCCGGAAAGGATTTCCGACTTTCAAATGAAGAATGGGTCAATCATAAATTAAAATTAGATGTATAATATATGAAAACCGTCTATGTAGAATGAGACGGACCAAACATGATTGTCAAGCTAATGAAACAGTCTATTGAACCCACGACGTGGAGCAATAATGTCATTTTAGGGGAGCTTTGCTCTAACCCCCACCCCCCACACACACACAGGGAAAAAAAAGAAAATTTCTCATTGAACTAAACTATTATGCATAGTTTATAAGTTTTTGGCTACATAGTCTTACCCGTTGAACCTTTATTAGTTTTAAATTTTTTATCAACATGATCTCAGAGAATAGCTAGTCTAAAAGGTTAGTATCAAAAGGGGTCCAACTATTCACACTCCCAAACAGTAACTTTGGGGGTGTGTGAGGACTAAATTGCCCTTCTCCCAAACCAAACCAGGCCAAGTTCATTCCAGAAACACCCTCAACATCAAAAGGGCATTTTCGGCAATCCAACTCCCAAAATTACTGTTTGGGAGTGGATATAGCAAACATGTATCAAAAGGCATGGGACCTCACGATCTCATTTAATAGGAATAAAACGTAATTATTAATTTGTAGACTAAGTTGCACTTAAACACCTTATAGTCTTACTCACTTCGCGCTTTTATACCTTCAATTATTTTTCAAAATATTTATATATCTTAAATTGTTTACATGTACTATTAATCTTACTCCAATTCAAATTTAAACAACTCTAGATACATAATGCTATAAAAAAACAACCGAGGGTATATAAGTACAAAGTGAGTGAAACTATAGCATATTTACTTGTTATTTAGGCTTGTTTATAAGGCATCATGTGACTAACTTGGGGGTGAAAATCTGACCTAATCATTTGAGCCCTTATAATAACTATTCAGGTTTTTGCGACCAGCGAGAGAAAAGAAAAAGAGAGGGAGAGAAAAAGAAACATTATGGAATGACAATTATTCAGCTTTTTTTTTTTTTGAAAGAAATAACACAAAATTTATGCCCCATGGACTCTTGGCCCCCAAAGATAAAATTTCTGCCTGCGTCCCTATATGCCTCTGCCCCTAATCCATGACCATGAGACATGATTTATGTGATTACAAAGAAGTTTTGATGACAGAAGTTCTTTAATTCAAAATTAAATTATAAACCTTTATTTATCGTAAACCAATTAGTGGATGAAGTTTTATGAGCGCCTGAACAGGTGGATATTTAAATGGGAGCCCCGAAAGGGTGTTTGACTTACAAATGAAGAACACACATTGGCTCCATCCCGTTGAGATAGACTAATTTCATATATTAAATGTTTGATCATGATGTAGATTGGGAAATATGACATGTTCTTCGTTCACAAGTCAAACACACTTTCTCAGCCAGCTGCTTCACGAGCTCATCTCCAATTTATTAGCCATTAAAATAAAGATTTGTGGCTTATTTTTGAACTAAAGAACGCTAGAGCATGTTTGTCAGGTGGCCAAAGTGGCTTACATGTTTGGTAAATGACTTATTTTGGGATTTTATTAGCCATCCAAAAATAAGCTGGGATACTCAAACTTATTTCCTGAGGGCTTTATAAGTCATAATGTTTGACCAAGTAAAAGTCCAATATATTGCCACATTTTACAAAATTCCAAGCTCTATTTTTCTCTCTAGAACTCATTAAATACTTTTTGGTCATTTTAACAATAACGATGGAGTTATACATCACCCATTTGCCAAACACTCTACTATTAAAACATATTATAATCCACTAAATTTACCAAACAAATTGACTCATAATCCACGTATTAATAATCTATTTATAAATTATAAACTAAGTAGATTATACTCTAAAAGTGCCAAACATGTTGTTAGACATCCAAACTACTTTAACCGTATAGTCCATGCCTCATGGGCCCCAACGGACCGTTTTGCTTGCTTTGACAGCCTGAGATTACAGTTATCATTACCCCCACGAACATTTTCAAGGCATAAATTCATTCAAACAAGGTCACGCAACACTAACGCAGTGCTTAATCAACTGTTCTCCCTTAAACTAAAGACAAATCGCATTTTTTTAACCATTCCTCGCTCAGCCGCCTCAGGTTCCTTCTCTCTCTCTCCCTGTCTCGGTGCCCCCTTTGAGAACCGAACACAGCCTTTCGTATCTAAAGAATCTGTGTTCCCAAAATGGCCTCATTTGTTCGCTCCAGACTAAACTGCATATGGGTCTGTCAGTAAAAATCAAATTCTTCCTATGTACATCGAGAAAAAAACAGGAAATTTATCAGGAAACAATGAAGAAAACGGCTGCTCTGTTTCAATTTCACTCTGTTTTCCGTTACCGTGGAATCCAGACCACTAAGTAATGATCTGGCTGCAGCCTCTCCTCTGCCAGTAAACCAAGCTGCCAGTTTGTCTGCTTTCACTTGCTCTCTCTCTCTCTCTCTCTTCCTTTTCCCCTTTTGTTTTCTTTTTATTTCTTTTTTTCTGTTTTTATCTCTTTCCATTTATTCTGCCCTGTTGCCCACATTCCATAATCTTGTCTCTGAGCCTTGAGGAACGCTTTTGTTTCTTCTTCCTCTCCCTTGGGTTTCTTTCGGTAACACAGAACTAAGCACGGAATTTTGGCTCAACTTTTTTACAGCAAGTTTCCAAATGATGTGCAGCATTCTGGGGAAGATGGGATCTTTGGGTTTCTTGATGGAACGAGGTATGGATAGTTATCTCTCTTTTTTTACATGACCAGTTCGAATCTGTATGATTCTTTTTGTTGGATTTGCCATAGAAAATTGCCATTCAAGATGATTTTCTTTTGAACCCATTAAGGGTTTTTGATGGATTATTGATTGAATTCCTGCAAAAAGTTATAATTTTTATCGAGTTGTAACAAGGCTTCGAACTTCATATTCTCCTTGAACTTGCTTGACTATCAGCTGAGAATCGCCGAAGGCCTCGAGATATTCAACCCCCAGCTCCTTAGAGAAGTTGAGTCCTATAATCAATGCGTTATACTCTGCTACGTTATTCGAGCATGGCTCGGTTAGCGAGTAGGCGCGAGGCATCACATGTTTTCCTGGGGAAACTAAGACTACTCCAACTCCGGAGGAGATTTTAGAACTTCCAGGAGCACTTGCAACATTAGTTGCTCGCGAAGCGCCATCGAAGTATAAACGCCATACTTGTTGGTGAGAAGTTGCGTTGACTTCATGGGTTTCATCTGGTAAGCCGTCATATATTTCGGCGGTATCCGTCGTTGGATTATCTGCAAGGAGATCGCATATGGCCTGTCCTTTGACCGACTTCTGTTGCTTGAAATGCAAGTCGTATTGGGACAAGAGTAAGGCCCATTTCGCTAATCGCCAGCTCATGGAAGCGGGTTGAGTCATGAATACTCGAACCGGATTAACTTTAGAGATGACGTAAATGGTCTGCCCGACCAAATAATGCCGCATCTTCTGAATGGCGAACACCAAGGCGAGGCATTCCCTCTCAATCATAGGATATCGAGACTCGGCGCCCACCATGGTTCGGCTCAAGTAATACACTGCCTGCTCGTGACCGTTATCGTCATCTTGTGCAAGCAATGCACTTAATGAGTGGCTCGTCGCCTTGACATAAATCAAGAACGGTTTGCCCGATTTCGGTGCAACGAGTACGGGAGGTTTTGAGAGATATTCTTTAATGCTCTCGAATGCTTTCTGAAAATAAAATATATATATATATATATATATATATATATATATATACAGTGCCTTTCTCCTACGGATCAGTTCGTACGGATTGAGGGGAAATGAGTGGTTTTTGGGTTTTTTCGCAAAATGCTTCCGCTACTCTCTCTCTCATAATAACTCCGCTACTTGATCTGTCAATTAAATGCTCTCTCTCTCTCTCTCTCAAAGGAAAGCTACATCCCCTAAAAGTCAAAATCCCCAATTCCACACCGTTGCTTCTCCCCCAAAATCACCCGACGACGAAGCCCTAATCTCCCTCCCAACGTCGGAGAAAGGCGTCGGACCCCCAAGTCGGACCCCCAAAATCCTTCTCGAGCTCGACGTCGGACCCCCAAATCGGACCAACACCGCCTCGCCTCCCTCCCAACGTCGGACCACCAACGCACGGAATTTTGCCTCAACTTTTTTACAGCAAGTTTCCAAATTATGTGCAGCATTCTGGGGAAGATGGGATCTTTGGATTTCTTGATGGAATGAGGTATGGATAGTTATCTCTCTTTTTTTACATGACCAGTTCGAATCTGTATGATTCTTTTTGTTGGATTTGCCATAGAAAATTGCCATTCAAGATGATTTTCTTTTGAACCCATTAAGGGTTTTTGATGGATTATTGATTGAATTCCTGCAAAAAGTTATAATTTTTATCGAGTTGTAACAAGGTATAACCTGGCTATGCGAATTTGTTGGTTTTTAGAGCTTTTACTGTTCTTTTATGAGTTTTTTTCCCTTGGCTTGACACAAAGTTTGTATAGTTCTTCAGCCTATGACGCTATCTCCAGTCCTTCACCTTTTCATTGGATTCCTGTTGCTTATCTATTTGAAGAAATATTTGACTGATTTCTGAGAAACCCATTATATATATATCTTGAGTTTTCTTTTTCTTTAGTTAAAATGCCCATGAAATTGTTTTCGTTTCTGATGAGATGAGCTTGCATATTTCTGTTGAATTGAAGCCCAAAAGTCCTTCCTGATTCAGTGAGAGCACAAATCTCTTTCTTTCTTGTTTGGTTTTTTACTATTTCTGCTCTCTGTTGAACAAAGATTTGATTTTGCTTCATTGTTAGTATCTTAATAATCCCATGTTTCTTTCCGATGCAGAAAACCAAACCAAAAACTGAACCTCCATCATCATTACAATGAGGGACTTTGCTTGTTTCGGTGAAAGTGGAGTTCAAATCGCTGATGCCTCCTCATCTTCTTCTTCTTCCTCTTCATCTAAAAATGCTCAGAATCAAGTGACTTGCATCTATCAGACCCAACTCGGGTCTCGTTCTTGCATAATCACCATAACATGGACCAAGAACTTGGTGGGGCAAGGCCTCAGCATCTCAATAGACGATTCCACAAACCAGTCCCTCGGCAAATTGGAAATAAAACCGTGGTTGTTCTCAAAGAAAAAGGGTTCCAAATGCTTGGATTCTGATAAGATGAAGGCTGAGGTTTTCTGGGATCTCTCCGCTGCTAAGTTTGGACCCGGACCCGAACCATTAGAGGGTTTCTATGTCGCAATTCTCTTTGATCTTGAAATGGTTCTGCTTCTCGGAGACATGAACAAGGAAGCCTATCGAAAAACAGGTACAAGCCTTCCTCCTTCTAATGCTGTGTTTATAGCCAAGAGGGAGCACTTGTTTGGCAAGAAGCTGTATTGTACAAAGGCTCAGTTCTGTAACAATGGGAGGATTCATGATGTTGTGATTGAATGTGATACTATTGGATTGAAGGATCCTTGCCTTGAGATCCGGATCGATCGAAAGAGGGTGATGCAAGTGAAGAGGTTATTATGGAAGTTTCGGGGGAATCAGACAATTCTTGTGGATGGGATTCCAGTTGAAGTGTTTTGGGATGTGCATAGTTGGCTCTTTGATGCGCCGGTTGGGAGCGCAGTTTTTATGTTCCATACCCGCATTGCAGCTGACAAGCTGCCTTGGTCATCCTCGCAGGTCTTCGGTGAAACCCAATTGAGGGATCTTGGCTTTTCGTTGATTTTGCACGCTTGGAAGAATGAGTAAGGTGTATGTAAGATCGGGAGGATGTTTGATTATACTCTTGGTAAAGTTGTTTTGATTGCTAACGGAATGCATTCATGAGTAGTGATTGGATTTTGACATTTGTGTGTGAGACTGTCATTTGTTTTTTTCTTTTCATTCTCATGATATATTTTACCTATGAAATGAGAACAATAGTTGGTATTATAATTGGTTTTTTATGCATAACTGATTGCGGAAGCTCAAATTCATAGACATGAAATTGGGAATAGTTCTGTGAGTCTTTGAACTGCCTTTTTTTTAAAAGCTCTTAATTTTACTTCTAACGTTTACCTCCCGTCATTGGTTGTAAAATGTGTAGACTAATTGCAGTAAGCCTTACACATAAATCTGGAGGTCATGTGCACGAGGATATTGAGAATAATCCTCAAAATTGCTATGTGACCCAATATCTTATTGAAAGTTTGTTAACTTTTTATCCTCTTGCACTCTTCATATTAAATGTAATACTACATTGAGCAGAAATAGGATGTAAGTACATTTCACAAAATCTTATGTAGCAGTATAGTCTTTATTATAAGGTGTTTACATATCTTTAAGGTGGGTTACTCTATGGAGGAATCAAATACGTGACATCTTGCTCGAATTAATAAAAATAAAAATAAAAAAAATCTGTAACTACATGTAAGAGACTGAGTTCACTGAGTTATGAAGGTAAAAACATGCTGCCGGAAGGTACTGTTTTGGTGAATCTTCAAGTTTCCCCACTGATCCGCCATATTTGTTTCTTTATTCTTTTTTGTTTTTGTGCAGGACTGAAGAGTTCTCATGACAATTTACTAAGAGAAGGATTGAGATTAATCAAATGAATCCCATCACCCTAAATCAAGTCTTGGTTTCTTTTTCGCAACAGGTTCACTGAATATCATGTAAATTGATTTATCATCTATTCATCTGAGGGTACAATGTTAATGCCGCTGCTGTAGGCATAACAAATTATGCTTTGGTTTTATAGTTTATTTGTGTCCATTTAACTTCATTTTCTGTTATGCATGTGCAATTTACACCTCGCTATGGTGTGTCAGATCACAAATCAAGGACTTGCTACTGATGAATATTTAACTAGTTGTATCTCATGCAAACTAGCATGCATACTTTGCCCCCATTAAATTTCCCTTGTATCTCTTATGTTATGATTGATTACAGATAAAAGTGATTATAAGAATGACAATTGATATTGGGACACAACTAAGGAAATGGGAAAGAGAAAAATAAAGAAATTAAGAAAAGGACAAGTTGTAAAGGATTCATTTTTGTAGTCAATTCTGCAGTGCTGATTATTTTCTAGAGCAAGAGTTATGCAGTCATAAGCGTAGCAGCAACTCTCTCTACTGCTTTTGTTTCTGTTACAAATTTGTTATACTATTTCTTGACAGACAATCTTGTGAGCTAGTGGCATCTTTCCAAAGCGTACACCTTTAGTCAATCCACCATTTTTTTTCAGTTATTTGACTGCAAAAGTTTTTAACTGACACCTTTCTAATGTGTACCATAGTCAATGCACCACTTGAAATTCAGTTATTTCATCTGAAAAAAGGTTTTAACTGATGTCATCCTGCTTTCTCATGTGGGAAATTAGTTATTTATAGCAGGATCACTTAAATTCTCCAATAAAGTTATCCTTCAAATTAGTTGTAACTGTGTACAGTCTTTATTTACGTCTCCTATACTAGTGAGAAATGTGTGATACTAGAATGTCAGGACCATGTAATTGATTTTTTATTTTTATTTTTTTCTTTGAGAAAAAGGGTCTTAGCCCACTTTATTTAAAGTACGGACGGCGGGCAGAGAGATTAGAGGGTAGAAGCTATAGTAAGATAAAATGGAGTAGGCAAAGCTAACTGTTATATGAATGGTGGGAATGCCAAAATTCATTTAAATATATCATCAATATTTAGGAACAATCATATATCTTGTCTGTTACAAGCTATGTTACCCGGGTACTTCATTATTGAAGCCGTACCCGTACCGGACACGTACCCGACACTTTCCCGTACGCAAACTTCATGGACACTTCTTGAATATATGCATGCATTTATTACAACATGTACTCAATTAGACGATATATGTGTTAATTTAAAACACTTGTCAAAGACTTCCTGGACATAAAGCTTACACTTCACATCCGTCTTTTGAAACTAATGGGATACGGGTCGGGTTCGTTTCAGTTCATACCCAAGTTCAAAACTATATAGTTAATGGGTCGTTTAGATGTCTAGTAAAAAAATGAGTAGTTTACAATTCACGATAATCAATATGATAAAATAAACTCAAAAATGTGATCGGAATTTTAATTCTAATGACACATGAAGCGGAAAAAAATTATCTCATATACATTATTAATTCTATATATATATATATATATATATATATATGTTTTACAGTTTTGCCGTGTCCTGTACCCGTATCCGCACCCGTACCAGTACCCGTGCCCGTTTCCATGCAACTTAGGTTACAAGTATTCAGTTTTAGTCCTCCAAAGAATCAGTTGCTCGTAAATGTTTACATCTTGTTCATTTATATCTGAAGTCATGCTTGGATGGAGCATTTTCTCTTGATTGACCCAAATGGGATTAATCTATGAACTGTCTTTGTGAGCTCCCCATCTCTCTTGTAAATTCTGACATGGTGTATATTTTAGTTTAAAGGTATTTCTTTTAAATATATGATTGTTGGTGTTATTATTTTCACAAAATATTGTATTAGACTTCAGATTTGGCAGGCTGAACACAGACGTTACATGAATTGGAGATTGTGTGTTTACATTTATAGGAATAAATAAACCCGATATAAGCAGATTGGATATGAATATTGCTTGTGTCAAATTCTAGTTATTTATTTCAATTGATTTTGTGCTAAGAGCTATCCTTGAGCAGATTTTCTGAAGGAGTTATAGCAGGAGGCCATCAGAAAGTTCTTTCTTCGAATGAGCCTAGGCCCCCATATTAGCAATTTTTCCGAAATGTTACTCGGTGGGGTATTCTATTGTTGTTTAACTAGATGTGATTTATTGACTCATTTCTGGATTAGGTTGCTCTCATGCCAAGACAGTTGGTCTGTATTGAGGGGCTTTGTTCAACATATGCTTCTCGCAAAATGATTTAGTTAAACCTCTGGTGAAAAAATAACAATTCCTTCTCAGTTTTTTTACCTGAGATTCTATCTTCTCTAAGGTTGTAACCATATTTGACTTTGTAATCCAAAAGAATTGTAATATCAGAACAGGGATCAGTCTTGCAAAGTGAGAAAAGATCATCGACTCTAGAAGGTTTGGTTTGAATTTTATTAACTAGTTCAATATTTATGTTTTACTGATTGTCTTGAGTAGTTGAACCTCTAAAAGTCAATTTTCGTTTGTGAATTTACCATGCTGATGACTGAGATCATGATTTTGTCGATAGCCATGGCATGTTAGGTATCCTCAGTGCCTAATAGAGTTTGCAGAAATTGACAAATAAGTTGCCATGTATGACTGTTGACTTTCTATCGTCGTTCTTTAATGTTAATGAATTTCAAATATGAGGATTAAATTATTGTTCTTTCATATCGGTGACCTTATATTTTTGATGGTCCAGGGTGCTGATGTTTGATACTTCCGTAGATCAAAATGGTCTGCTTGGAGGTACTTTCTCTAGTTTTGGAACATGTAGTTCAATTAGCTAAATAATTTAAAGATGCAAATTTTGGTTTTCGGTTAATATTCATGAATGTGAGACTGAAATATATGATTTTTACATATGCAATCTCTGTGTTGCCACAATACTTCAAAGTTTAGGGTTTTTTTCCCATGTTGGAAACCGCACTTCACACTGGAGGACATGCAATTTGTAGTTTTTTATGCAATATATTCCTAATGAATTATAATCAGATAAGTTATGGCAATTTCCCAAGGTTATTACAAGTATGGTTTTGTACATGATCCCGTGCACATATATGAAAGAATCATGTTCAACAAGTATCGAAGAATTTTCTCAGATTTAGAATATGGAACCAGTGCAAACTTAGTCAGTGATATCGAAGGATCTGGCATCTTGTGATCTAGAGGAATTCATACGACCATGGATTAGTCTTTTAACTCAATGAACTAACGTCACCAGTGAGCCTAATTCGCGTTGTTGTCATTACAATTTCAGGGCTAGGCACCATTTGATGACAACAGATAGAAGTGAAGGAAATGTGAGTATCAAGTATCAGTTCAACAGTTAAAGCATATTTTTTGAATGGTATGATGGTATACATTAGTAATTTCTTTGACGCTAAGCATGTCGTTTCTTCACTGTTATAAGAGAGGAAACAGTTAGCATTTACACAACCATCAAAAGTTTCTCTTTGAGAGGTGATGCAGAAAGATATGTCTTGAAATTGAGAGAAACACAGACAATAAGGCTATGCCAAAAGATCGACGATATATCCATGATGACTTGTTAACCATTTTTAATTGTCTTGGACTGCTGCCAAATCCAAGTAACAACTACTTTCGCCAAAGTTCTTAATTGCATTAAACCAGATGACTTGCTGGTCAGTAACGAGACTTACCTCATTCGCCGTCTACCATTTATGGTGTTTATCCCCTGACATTGGATATGATTTGTTAGCACATTGCGGGGTATCTACAATAACATGAAGTCCATGGCAGATATCAACAATAGCGTGAAGTTACCGATGGTTTAATGGTTTTATCTGAAAATTTAAGTCGGTTTTGTAAAACATTAAAAATAAAAGGGCTTTTTTCTTTTTGGAAGAATCAAATGATTCTATTGCACTGCATCGAGAAAAATTAGGTCCTTCGGTATTATTTCAATGGTGGGTATTTTTTGATGTAAAGGGTCAGGCTTGGCTCTAGGTTCTCACTTCTCATGGTTCGGCTCTTGGATACCTACTGGAATCTAATGGCAGATTTGAGAAGGAAGAAAGAAGGATAGAGATATGAAATCTATCATGTAGAATGGGACAGCTTGTCAAATTTGATATATATGTTCTTTTTAACGTATGGTAGATTTAAACTTCTCTATGAAAGGGTGTGGCCTTTCCGTGCGTACTTTGTGTGGCTTTAACTGAAATTTCTCGACGTAGTAAATCTTATTCTTAGCAAGCTGAAATAATGTTTGCAACCAATTCATACTAGTGATTAAGGATTCAACATACTTCAATGCTATTTCTAATCAGAAATCTGCTAATAATCTCAGAGTGTTACTATCTTACATTTCGATAGGTTTGGTTAGCTTTCTCACTTGATCTATCCTTGCTGCCATGCTAACCCTTGTGAGGTTCGATTGCTTAAGGAATTCTATATATATAGTTTTCCTGTAAAACATTGCTCAGTGTCTTCTTTTCCCTTTCTTCAGGATTGAAGTGCCTATAACATCATTGACTTTAGATTTAAGATTATGATCAGGACTAGATTTTACCATGTGAATATTTTCTGTTATGAATTGCATTAATATCCCATCAAAGAAAGAACATTGCAGATGATTGGTTATTTAAGATTATGATCAGGACTGGATTTTGCCTTATAAAATGCATTAATATCTCATCAAAAAAAGAATATTGCACATGATCGGTGTTCTCTAACATCATCCTGGACCTCTTTTGGATGCTCAAACAGTGTTGTTCATGTTAATTATCTCGTTTATGTTCTTCTGATTACATGGCCTTTTCTCCCACCTTCTCCTTGTGAAAATGAAATGAATATAATCATGAATTAAATTGGCTCTGTGAACAAAAGCACATACTACGACCACCAAGGTCACTTGTGATTGTTCTCAAAATGCTTCAAAATAAATTATGAAAATGACCAAACCTAATCTACTTCCTTTATTAGAGTTTGAATTTCAGAAGCTGGATTCTCTTCAAATCTCCAAGTAATACAGCAAATAACTGATGAAAAGTTCTTCTTTGATCAGCAAGGACATGGGACGATGCGTCTCATTTTATTGTTGCATTGTGTAAAAAGGGATGCTTTTATTACTTTAAGAGGTTCTCTGCAGACCAATGTCTTTGTTGAGCAAGATAAATGCAAATGTATCTATTTAAGGTTAAATTACATTGAAGCCCCAAGAACTTTCAGCTTTTGGCACTAAACCCCCAATAACTTTTTGGCATTGTAGAAAACTCCCAATAAGTTTCTGCATTTTGCAGATACCCCCATAAATTAGAACCAAAGGACGACATAAAAAGGCATTTTGAAAGGTACTGGGAGTTTAGTGTGACTCACCAAAAAGATATTGGGGTTTTCTGCAAAAAGTTATTG